GGATGCACCCAATCTCTGGTTTGCCCATCATTGATCGCCTGGAAACAAGCCCCGAGATGTGCTGGTGGGCAGATGGTCTGCCTCCATAGACAAAAGGCATACTATGAACGCCATTTATAGCACATGCAGGTGAATGGGGTCAGCAGAAGAATCCCAGTGGGTTTGGAGGAAAAGATTTTGTACCCTATGATATTGGGTAGAGATTGGCCAGAAATTTTTGAAGTTTTAGCATCGCTCTATAGTCCCGAAGGCACTAGGGAAGGACTAGTCGGGGCAGGTACAGGGACAGAAGAAGAACTGGAGGTAGAAGCACTGGCCAGTAGCAGTCAATTCCGTGAGGCCCAGGAGAGTGATGAAGAACTGTGGGCCTTCAGGGAAACCGAACAAGTGAGAATCGACCAGCAGGTAACGCACCCCGAACAAAATAACCCGGTGCCATGGTGTGAGATGCGTAAGGGTTTATTATACAGGATTAAGAGGGGTAAAGCCGAAGGGGAGGAGGTGGCACAGTTGATCATACCCAGGCCTTACAGAGAGCCACTTCTATGCTTAGCTCATAGGAATTCCTTGGGGGGACATCTAAGCAAAAATAAGACTGAAGCCCGCCTAGCTAGATGGTGTTTTTGGCCCCACATGTATGAGGAAGTGGAAGGATTCTGTCAAGTCTGTGAAATATGTCAGAAGGTGAGCACTTATAAACTTCCCAAGGTGCCACTGCAGCCAATGCCAGTGGTTAGAGAGCCTTTTTCTAGGGTGGCTTTAGACGTAGTAGGCCCTAACCTCGGAGTGTGGTGGGGCACCAGTTTGTTTTAGTGCTAATAGATTATGCGACCAGGTTTCCAGAGGCTATCCCATTGCGAGCTGTGACAGGGCCAAGGGTCGCAGAAGAACTAATGAAATGGGTAGCAAAATTTGGTATCCCTAGGGAGATTATTATTCACCAGGGGTCTAATTTTATGTCCCTAGTATTGGGTTCCATGTGCAAAGTGTTACAGAGCTGTCATTTAAGGATGGCAGTTTACCACCCCCAAATGAATGGTCTGGTGGAACGCTTTAATGATACCCTTAAAGGGACGTTGCACCAATGTGCCCAGGTAGAGCCGAGAAAGTGGAACCTACTGGTGCCCCCTTTGCTGTTTGCAATTTAGGGATACCCCGCAAGCATCGCTGGGGTATTCACCATTTGAGTTAACCTATGGACACAGACCCAGGAGTTTGTTAGACGTAGTGAGAGAAGGGTGGGAGACAGACCCTAACACAGGAAGAGGGGCGTCAGAGTATGTGCGGGATTTAAAAGAGCGCCTCCAGTTGGCAAGGGAAGTGGCACAGGAGAACCTGAAGCAGGCACAAAGTAAACAAAAGGAGAGATATGATATGCACACTAAGAAGAGGGAGTTGAAAGTGGGGCAAAAGGTGCTGGTGCTGTTGCCTGGTTCAACAAGTAAGTTCTTGACATGTTGGCAAGGCCCTTTTATGGTACTAAGAAGAATGGGACCTGTAGATTACGAGATATTACGCCCAAGGGCCAAGAGAGAAAAACAGGTGTACCACATAAATCTTCTTAAAGAGTGGCACGAGCCTGAGGGCCTATTGATATCTCCTGACCCCGAGCCAGAGGAGTTTGGGCACCAGGTTACGAACCATCCTGGAGACCCCGGAGACTGTGAAAGGGTCCCTGTGGGGAACCAATTGGAGGTAGGACAGCAGAAACAGCTGCAAGGTTTAATCAAAGAGTTTGAGGACGTCTTCACGGATAATCCGGGGAAAGCTGCAGGGGCTGAACGCAAAATTGTGACCAATGAGGGGCATGTAGTATGGGAGAAATGGTGGAGGATCCTGTACCATAGGTAGCAACCTATTAAGGAGGAGCTGGAAAAGATGTTAGCTCAGGGGATTATCACACCATCATGCAGCCCATGGCGTAGTCCATTAGTAGCCGTTACAAAACTGGAAGGGAGTCTGTGGATATGTGTAGATTTTCACAAGCTAAATGCCCTGACACAATTTGATGTGTTTCCCATGCCGCAGGTGAGCAAATTAGTAGAGCATATAGGTCAGGTGAAGCTTATATCAACGTTAGATTTATCCAAAGGCTATTGGCAAGTGCCTTTGAGAAAGGTAGACCAACCCAAGACCGCCTTCAGTACACCATGGGGTCTTTTTGAATTTAAAAGAATGCCATTTGAGCTTAATGGGGCAGCAGCCACTTTCCAGAGGCTGATCGATTGGGTACTCGCTCCACACCAAAGTTACGCCTTGGCATATATTGATGATGTTGTAATTTACACAGTCATGGGAACAACAACTAAGGGCTTTAAGGGCCATCTTACTTGAGCTCAGGCAAGCAGGACTGACAGCAAACCCAAAGAAGTGCGCGCTGGGAAAGAGGGAAACCAAATATTTAGGATTTTTAGTGGGGTAAGGACTTGTGAGACAGCTCGCTGACAAAGTGAGAGCTATTAGAGAATATCATGGTCCTACGAAGAAGAAGCAAACGAGGGCCTTCTTAGGGCTTGCAAGTTACTACCAGAGGTTTATACCCAAATTTGCAGAGATAGCAATCCCTTTAGTTGAGACTATTAAGGGCAGAAAGTCATATGGCATTGAATGGAACGCGGGTCAACGGAAAGCCTTTGAAGACCTTAAGCAGGCCTTGTGCTAAGAGGTAATTCTCCATACCCCCAATTTCGCACTGCCCTTCACTCTGCAGACCGACACTTTGACGTTCACGCTAGGAGCAGTTTTATCTCAGGACATCACTGGAGTGGAGCGGACAGTAGCCTATGCTAGTCGGAAATTGAATGAACATGAGAAAAGGTATTCCACTGTGGAACGTGAATGTCTCGCTATCCATTGGGGGGTGGACTATTTTCATTATTACCTGTTGGGCTTCAAATTTAAATTGATAACTGACCATGCCCCTTTGAGATGGCTAAACACTGCAAAAATGGATAATGTCTGCATAATGAGGTGGGCATTGGCTCTCCAACTTTTTCGATTCTGCATTGCATACAGACCAGGAAAGGTGAATACAGTGGCGGACTTCCTATCACGTTGTGATGAAGATGGCTTGAATGAGGGGAAAAGGAGAGAGGAAGAAGAAGAAGGCAGCAAATTGAATGGGAACATAGTAAGGCAAGAAGGTGAAGCACCTTATGGTGTTTTGAGGGGTGGGATGTGTGGGAAAGAGAAAGAGTCACCGTGCTCCAAAGCACAAGGGCTAAACAAAGCTCAGCTGCCCCAGGTCCACAGCTTCAAGGAGCCCGGGAGAGATCTCCCTTACCCAGGTGTTTCTGGAGGGGAGGGGCAGGAACTCCCACGCTGGTATAAAGAAGAGCCCAGGACAGGAAAGAGTGGGGAGCGTAGAACCGGAAGGAAGAGGAGGAGCAAGCCGACACACGCTGCATGGAACCCTGAGAGCGACGTGCAGAGCTGGTCACGTTGAAAGACCAACTGGCTGATCAGAACCCGGTGGAACGGGCAAGGGTGTAGGGGTGGTGGAGCCCTCAGGAACGTAGGACCTTCTCAGGACGACAGTGAGATTACTAATGGGACTACACGTACAGGTACTGAACCAACTCCTTTAACATCAAGTCGTGGCAGACAAACGTGGGCATGTAAATCTCCGATTAGAACTGGTCCCACCCTAGTTGATCGGCAGGTGGTGTCCTACAGGTCTGCAAGCGACTGAGATACTTGACAGACACCATGTTGGAAGATTTGTTTATTAGGAAATGCATTGCTTCCTTTACACTGGAAAGACTAGAGTGTTTGGTTGAGTTAAGTTAGTCTACCAGTGAGGGACACTGAAGCAAGAGTTGCATTTATATCTGGAAAAGGTAATTTCATGATTTTTGATGTTCAAGTTTCAGTAAAATACCTGCAAATTTTCCATAAATGGGACACAGACTAAGGATTTTTCCTTATAGAAATAACTTGGCACCCTGGATAATAAATAAATTAGAGAAAATTACATACAATCTGCAAGCCAAAAAATTAGCTGAACTCAGTCATTGTCAATTACTCATTAGAGCTAAAAAAAGTAAATAGCAGGGGAGACTATTTGTATGATACTTGAGACTTAGCGGGGAACCTCTGTACTGAAAAAAACCATGAGAAAGTGCATTTTTCATTAAATCTCCCATTGTAAAGATGCATTCAAATAATTTTTTCACAGTGATATTGTGGGTATGTAACTATATCAAGCCTCAGAGTCTTTTGAGATTCACTCATTGTTATTCAATAGTAGCGATGAACCTGAACTGAAATGTTGTGATCTGAACCCTCCTCAAATGGCGAGACTTGGGCTCATCTTAGTTAGCTCAAAGCATAGTGCAGACATGCGCTAAGCCTCCATTATTTTTTAGTTGCCTTATCCCTGGCTTTCACTTAGCTAATTTTACCTTATTCCTTATTTATTTACATGTGTCAAATGCACATACCTCCCCTGAACTGGACTAATAATGCAATGTCTGATGTTTTGTCAGGCATGGAAGGAGCATTCCACAGGAAATTAAAGCAGCCTGGATGACAATACTTTGATTCCCAAAATGAGTCTTCCCTCCCTCTTACCATTCTCCCAAGCTCAAAAACTTTTGAGCAAATGTTTCCACCCTGTTTTTATCTCTTGACAAGCACAACTGTTCTCTCCTCCTTCCAACAGCCTGCATGTACACCTGCACCCACACATGTACTGCATGCTCCATAAAACAGATGTTGCAGGATTTTTAATCCCCATGAGTTCTCGGATGGATTAAAACTCAATTCTCTAAGCATCATTCTTAATCGCTACACTAAGTAATACATGCTTATGTTAACCATCACTTACAATGTAAACTAAAGCAACAGATAATCAAATATAAACACCTGAAATTCAGGCTAGGCTACACCTGGATGGCACTGTCATGACTTTTTGATTGTTTTTTTACACCTGTGTCTGGCTCAGTAACTGCTGTAACAAAACCCAGGTGGTATGTAGGCACCTCTCACATTCTACGTACCTGTAACCCTTCAATGGCCAGCTTGAGGATGGAAGGTGTTAGCTTGGAGGCTTGCTTGAAGGAGAAATTGCTCCAATCTATAATTAAAATGAAGCCATTTATCTGAAGTTCTTGATCTTCAATGAGAACTTCCAAGGATAACAGAATAGCCCGTAGAATATCGATGAAGGAATTCCTAAGACCAAAGTAGAAATACAAAAGGGTTGAAAATGCAGATATGCCATGGATTTCACATACATAAGGGGCTAACTGATTTATTTTAACAACGTTCTTTTAAAAACACAGCTATTTTAAAACATACTGCCAAGGGTTTCCTGTTAGAAAACACACATTCTAATATTTAATTTGATAACTTGTGTTTTCTAAGGAATAAAATGGACTTAGTTAAACCCCAGATCTTTGTGTGGCATCATTTGTAATAGATTTTAGCTAAGTTATACTGGGAAAATATTTCTCAGTAATAAATGAAACAGCTTTAGGCTATCAGTTTAAACTTTAAACTCCTGAACTCTTGGGTACATTCCAAAAGTCTACTCTAGCATCTATGCTATTAGGAGGAAGATAAGAAGCAGAAGGGCAACTCTGTGTATGACTCACATAAATGACTTCGTTATAAATAAAAGAGAAGCTGTCTGACTTGTTTTTCCAGAAGGAGGGGAAGATTTTAGTCAGACTTTAGACACTACTCAGCTTATATGACTCAGACACAAAATAACATCTCCAAATAGGAGGAGTGTGCTAATTAACAGCTAGCAATTAGTAGTTGCAAGGCTTTACTTATCACAAAAAAGAATCCTTAACACCAACTTGAGGAATAAGACAAGACATTTGTAGAGCCTTTCAGTGAAGAATGAAGTATAACCTTCTAGATGAAACTGATGACATTATACTTGTGATCCTTGTTATTTTTGCATTATTCTTAAGTTTCTGAGTTTTCTGCTCCTATGGAAAGGTAGCTGCCATTTTGCTACAGGAAAGATAAAGAATATAGTCTCACATAGAGACGTTAGATGTGTTCTTTTCTACTGCTTTCTTTAGTTTACAAGGGTTCATTTTAAACCTAAAGTTATGTGATTTCAATCTGTGTATGGAAAAATAAGAGGTACTCATAGTCTAAGAAGACTGGAACTTTTCTTTCCTCCCCCAATACATAAGGCCATATTTATCCCTTTTTAGAAGTAAGGACAACTCTGCTGACCCATGTCAGAGCTGAATTGTGTTCTTGGTCTTTTTTTCTTTCCCTTTGGCAATTTTTGACCTAAAAGTTAATAATTCTGTCTTAAAGAAAGTACATCTTGGAAAGTCAGTTTATTTTCTGTGCCTCTTTGTTCCTTTGGCGTAATGCACCCAAAAATATTTTCAATAGCTGAGGTGATATGATATTCACAGAGCTTACAGGTGTCACTGAGATCTATGAAAAACTCAGTTTGGATTGAAAGTATGTTTGGCTTTGCTGCCATTGGGCTTCAATGCACCACAGCAAGAGCAACAGGACAACCTCAAACCTAACCAAATTGTACTGAAAATGAATTGGAAAGTCAGCCAGGAGGTAGTGCTTTCCCATGCAGTGTAAGGCAGAAACACAACATTGAGTTAACTTGTTTCACAACAGAACATTTATCCTGATTTCCTTAAAAATGTGATGTGCAAAATGCATATATAACTTTTTCTGTGGAAACATCATCCACGTGAGGTCTCCAGAACTACCCATCGGTCCCTTGGCCAACTACACACAGCCCTGAATTCCCGCCCTTAGACTGTGAGTGTTCAGTTAAACAGCAATAGCATCTTGTCTCATCATGGGAGGGTTGCTACACCTCAATTGTATCTAAACAGTTTCTAGTCAGGATCCACCCCATTTACAATGGGGATAATTTTGTGTAATCTCATACATATGGTTGCTGGTGTTTAGATGCCTTTAATTAACAGGGATCCAGGATTTGACATGCCTCATCTGCTTCATGGTAACTGTTCCTGTGCCTGTCCCAGTGAAGGCTAAACTGGGGCAGCCTTTCCCTGAATAAAACAGGCTTAGCTTGGTTTAGCTTTCACTGACCATAATCTAGAAACAAATACAGAAAAGCAGCTGAGCCATGGTAAGTCCCTACACTTTGTTAATTGTGGGCATAAGTCCATGTGCCTGCAATTACTCCACAGTGGGCATGTCTATTAATGCAAAGCAATAAACTACAGCACAGTTTGCCAGAGGTTATTGCTCCTGGACACAGCATTTGCAAGTGCACCTGCAAGCACAGCATGTTGAGCCAAGGCAGCACAACCCCAGCTGGCAGGAAGCCCAGGGGATCTGCCTGCCAGCATGGGGCTGCTCCTGCCCAACTCAACATGCTGTGGAGGGGCTGGCTGAGGCTCAAGTGTGCTACAGTGTAGGGCTAGCTGGCATGCAGCCCCACACTGTAGCATCCTCATACCCCAGTCACTGTCTACACATGCATTGCAGCAGAGCAAATAATTCTGCCTTAGAATAGTACTTGGATTGGGCTATACTATCCTATGGCAGAGTTAATTATAGAAGTAGGGTCGGAAGGGACCTTGTAGATCTTCAAGTCCAACCCCCTGCCTGGGCAGGAGA